AATTTTTACTTATCTATTTATTTTGGGGGGTGTTCCCCTATTGATTTGAAGAAAAGTAAACAGGATATCCAGCAGCATGATTTCCTGCTGACAGTGTAGGGCTTCACACACACCATCTGTGCTGGATGTGATCAGGGAAACTCACCAGCGATGTCCCACAGCTGCAGCCGCACCACCGTCTTGTGATCCCAGTGGAGCACTTTGAGGGCGAAGTCCACCCCGATGGTGGCCCTGTAGTGCTGGGAGAACACCTGGTGGACGTAGCGCTTTATGATGGACGTCTTGCCCACACCCAGGTCTCCGATCACCAACACTTTGAGCAGGCGCTCCTGCTGCATGGTCTGAATGGAGGAAAGATGACGATGATGATGGTGATGATGGTGTGTCCAGTTAGAGCCGATCTAAAGTCCTGCATTCAGTATTTATCCATTAAAGGAGCATTTCAGGTAGAATGGGGATCATCGCTTAGACTTTATAAATGCCTTCTTGTTCCTGTAGAAGCAGCGTCTGAGCGCAAAGTTTCCCTCAAAGTGATGTTTTCTGGTTCCGATCAGTTCCTGTTCAACTTCTCAGCGCTTCAACTCGACACGTAGACCAAAACACTGCAATGAGAGGATCAGCAGGGAAGAGAGGATGTTATCTGCTGTCAGCTCTGTGGTCAGAGAGCGCTCCGCCTGCAGAGCAGAGGGGAGGACGCTGCGGTGACAGACCCCGCGCCCTGTGCGGGACAGCCACGCCCCCCACGCTCCACAGACAGCTGCACCAAATATTTACATACAAGAGGGGCCTGCAACCTACGGAAGAGGATTAGGGCCACTGAATAAAAAGTTAACTGATTTTTGAATATGTTTCAGTTTATTATGGGAAAAAAGTCTTTATTCTCAGAAATCTGACTTTTTTTTTAGAATTCTGACTTGATTATCAGAATTTTGACTTTAATCTCAGAATTCTTACTTTTTTCCTCAGAATTCTGACTTGATTCTCAGAATTTAATGTCAGATTTCTTACTTTTTTCTCAGACTTTTGACTTTAATCTCAGAATTTTGACTTGATTCTCAGAATTTAATCTCAGAATTTTGACTTTTCTCTCAGAATTCTGACTTGATTCTCAGAATTTTGACTTTAATCTCAGAATTTTGACTTTAATCTCAGAATTCTGACTTTAATCTAAGAATTCTGACTTTTCTCTCAGAATTTTGACTTTAATATCAGAATTTTGACTTTAATCTCAGAATTTAATCTCAGAATTCTGACTTTAATCTCAGAATTTTGACTTTAATATCAGAATTTTGACTTTAATCTCAGAATTTAATCTCAGAATTTTGACTTTAATATCAGAATTTTGACTTTAATCTCAGAATTTAATCTC